GAGGCCTAATCTGTGGGATCTAATCGGTCTAGTGGAGGTACTGCAACCATGTTTTAGTCATCTTCTGCTTTCAAGAAATGATCCATTCCTAAGGCCCTTTTTAAGCCTGCTATAAGAGGTTTCCTTTTAGAAAAGCTTATTCACTATTACAATTGTCTCATAAAAAAAGATGTCAATAGCCTTGCAAGGACTCAGACTTGAATGGCTTGAACATTGGTGCCTTGCAATGGGAAAGGATGTCTTAAGGCTGAACGGAGCAATGCTGCCTGCAAAACATGATGATCAGCTGGCTAGCTCTCCAGTACTTTACTACTTGATGACACATTCTGGGGGGGGGGGAGGGAGGGTTTGATCTGAAAAGAGAATCACCCTATTCACTCTGCCAACAGCCATCAATACTCACCTCCATCACCATGCTCAGGATGCCCTGTAGCCGTTGATTTGTCTGAAAGCGCCCTGGGTTACTCTCAATTGCTGACAAAACTCGCTGGACAAAACCCAAATCATGAAGCGGTGCTGCCCACATGGGGCCAGCCAGCTGCAGGAGGAGGAGGAGGAGGAAGAAGTATCAAGCTTGGGAAAAATCACTTCTCCAAGGGCATGTAAGGCAGGGCTATCAAACTCGCATTGTCACATTGTCGTCACGTGATTTATCGTGACTTTTGTCCCCTTCGCTAAATGGGATGGGCGTGGCCAGTGCATGATGCATCCGGCCCATGGGCAGTGAGTTTGACACCCCTGATGTAAGGCAAGTCATGAGGCTACATATTGTCTCGGCTCACCTGGTGGTGCTGATGGCAATGTTCACAGGATGGACCTACAGGGGGGCCACAAGCAGCCTTATAGTTGAAACTGTGGGGTTATGCAGAAGAGAAACCAGATCAAAATAACAAGATGGGTTTGCTTCCCCCCTGTTTATCAAAGATTTCTTTATGTTACAAGCACAGGTTGTCTAAAAGTCCAAGGCCAATGGCCCCATAGGTAACTCTTCTCTAGCAGAATATAGATCAAGCATCAGAGACAGACAGACAACATCTGCTCAGAGTTAAACCTCTGAATCCTCAGCAGCATTGTTCGACTGGAGAAAAGAGAAGGCAATTTCTAATCCTGAGAGGCAGGAAATGCGAAACCATATTTTCCAGTGAGAATGTTTGTTTATGTAATTCTCTCTCTCTCTCTCTCCCTCCCTCCCTCCCTCTCTTTGTAGGATTAAATATGAGATCTTCTTCCTCTTGGACAAATAAAGTACTTAATAGTTTTTGGGCTTCCAATAAACAGATATCTCTTTCTGTGTACGTTTTCATATTTTTTAATTTCCCAGCTCATGAGTTTCTGATAAGATGTGTGGAGATCAATTTTTTTTATTTTATTTTAAAATTCAAAGGGAAAAGAAAAGTGAGGAGAAACTAGCAGTTTCAATTAAAAAAGCAATACTTATTAAAAAGGGAAATTAGTTTTCCACTATGATCAGTGCAAGAGAAAATGTCTAGCAGGAAAAAAAATTGTATACTCCAAAAGTGATTTAGGCCGCAGAATGAAGGAAACTAATGCTATGCTATCCAAACTATAAAAAAGAACTCTTACTTTTTCCCATCGCTGACCATCTTGCCAAGTCTCTGGATATGAAATGATCCACAGCCCACACAGTTATAAACCAAGGCCTGTTTGCTGCCAAGAGAAAGAAAAGAAGAGTTGCTAGAGAAACCAGAGAAAGGGCAAACAAAGAAGGAAATGTCCAGGTGTCGGTCTTGAGTCACGCCGGCTATATCGGACTTCCTCCTTCTGAATGCAACAAATGGGGAACAGTTAGAAAGCAAGCAAAATTCTTTTCCTCTGCAGGGAAAACACAGCAGAAAAAGCAAAATGCCATCTTGAGCAGGTTCTCACCTAGCAGAAGCTTTGACCTTGGATGGTCCACTGAAGACTCGAACAAACACACGGATGTAAAAGTCCACACTGACAGACAACAGGGGAACAATATAGCGCTGGTAGCAGTTGGCACGAAGATCCAGGCTGTGCAGGATAATTCGTAGGGCCTGAAAGGAAAAGGACAGGGCAGCAGGGGTTCCTTTGGGTGCTGGCACAATGTGGCACAATATGGCTAACTTTACAGAAGGTACCTAAGACCTTTGTATATCTTTCACAGCACGTGGTGTTCCCATTCCATTCTTCCTCCACCCCAGTACTGCGGTACTTATAAGAACTTACAAGTTACTACTAGCTGTCCTTGCTAATTTGGGAAATGTTAATTTCCTTTGAAGCAGAATAACAAGGAGAAAAAAGATGGCAATAGAAGGTAAGCATCTCATTGCCTGGCACTCCCTCCTACTCACCATCTCATGACAGCAGGTGGTGCCGATTGACACCCCTCCATATTTGCTGTAACATGTTTCGCCCAATTTCCCAGCCAATACAGCCATGTCAGTGCATGTAACACACAGCAGACCTGTTGGGAGGCAAATTGTAGGAAAAAATGCAAACCAACACTTCTCCCAAACATACCTAAGGCGCTAAGGAGGAACGGACAGGAAGAATCAATGTGTGTGCTGAAGGCTTCACTCTAGACCTGCCCACGGCTGAGCCAGTGCAATTCTACTTCCTTCTCTCTAAAAAGGGGCTACTCTTCCTACAGTATCAGGCATAAAAAGGGAACACAAATAGAATTAGCCAGTTTGCCTTACAGGCTCTTATATTAAGAGGGACATATCTGACAGCAGTATTATTTGCTAATAGGAAAAGCCTCGAGCCCAATTCCAGACTCGAGAGTCCGAGGTTATTTTTCTTTTCACTATGTAATGTTCACTCTGAGAGCTTGTTTGGCCTAGTGCAGTGATGTCGAACCTTTTTGGCACCGAGTGCCCAAACCGGAACACAGGTGCATGTGTGTGCGCCATGCACCAGAGCACCGGAAACCTGAAGAGCAGCTGGCCAGTGCACGCATGCCTGTTTTTAGCCCATTTTGTGCGCCGTTTTTTCAGACCGCTTTCAATCCATTTTCAGGTTGTTTTTCAGGCTGTTTTGGGGGCATTTTTTCAGCCAAAAAAACAGCCCAAAAACGGCCGGGAAATGCTCCCCAAATGGCCCGTTTTCCAGCGCTCTGGCACCCACAAATACCAGCTTTCCAGTGCACATGTGCGCACCGGAAACCAGCAGAGCATCTGGCAATGGCATGCATGCTCACATAGAAAGCTCTGTGTGCCACCTCTGGCACACATGCCATAGGTTTGCCATCACGGACCTGGTGGTTAAAGCACTAGGCTAGTCCCAGGAGATTGAGTTCTAGTCCTGCCTTGGCCACGAAAGCTGCCTTGGTGACAGTAGGGTAGTCACTTTTAGCCCAACTCCCCTCATATGGTGGTAGTTGTGTGGAAACAGGAGGAAGGAGGAATATTGTGTATGCTTGCTGCCTTGAGTTATTTATAAAGTAAAAAAGATGGGATAAAAAATAAATAAATAAACATGTGTCTCAATCATTCTTGGAATAGTTTATAACCTTTGAAACATCACTATTTCTTACTGAGCAGGATATGGCTACAGAAATACCCCATTTTAGAAAACAAATGTTACAATGTGAAATCCATGTTCTTATTTCAATTTGCAGTTTAAAAAAGTGGAGAAAATTCTCGGGGGGGGGGGGGAGCCAGTATCCTGAGCAGCCCCTTTTGGATTATTAATAACAATGCCTAGAGCTGAAAGAAGCCACCAACCTCCATCCCTCACGCACTGCACCACGGCATCCAAGAAACCAGAAGGGCTGCCATACGGATCCAGGTCAATAACATCAAAGAATTCTTTAGCTGCCTTTTTGCGATATAGCAGCATCCTGCCCAAAAGAAAGAAAGAAAGAGAGGGGGGGGGAGGGAGAGAGAGAGAGATCACAAGATCAGAAAGATGTGGAAAATCTGGAAAATTAAGTCCTTTGTTTATTCTTATTTTTTAAGCGATACACAGACATTGTGCCCTGATGACTGAACTAAAGAATGGGATAATTAGAAATGCAGTTGAAGTACAGGACCTGTATATCACCAGTGATTCAGCTGTCTTCCCAGATTACACAAGCGGCAATTCTGCATCAAGTCATACAATCTTCCTGATTTTAAGAGTAGCATATACCTATCATTATTACCATATCGTATCGTTGCAGTAGCCAGGAGACCACAATCCTATTGCAAAAGTGTACTATATAGAATAATAGTAGTTGGCTTGCCAAGGTACCAGCCCTGTTATAGGAGATGCTTGTGCGCTTTCCAAGGTGTGCCACAGGAGGGCGAGCTGGCTTTGCACCAGAGAGAAAGATGAGCGGTTCTGCTTCAAATGGGCACTGCAGCCCATTTCAAATCACTAGTAAAACGGCTTGATTTAAATCAAGTCGATTTAAATCATATTTTTTAAAGAGCAATTGTCATCTCTGCCCCGCTCCCTGGCTCTTTCTCTGACCCGCCGTTGACTCATCAACAGTCCTAATATTGCAGAATATACAGCCTCATGCTACATAATTAAGCTCCATTTCATGCTGAATAAACTAAATTATTAATGTATCTTAAATAGGAAACTAGATTTAGATAGATTTTTACTACAAAGACATTTTATTAAAATAAATTTGATAAAAATAAAAAAATAATTTCAATAAAAATTGATTTAAATAAAAAAAAATTCTGATTTTAAAAAATCACCAATTTTTACCCACCCTGTATTATTATCATTCCCCAAAACTCACTGAATAATACTATTCTATATTAAAAAAACATGTCAGCCAAATATTACAAAGTGGCTAAGTGAAATCTAAGTTGCTTGTCTTTCTTTAACTCCCATTGTTATTATTAAAAACAAAACTTCTATTTTCCTTGCAGAGGAAGAGTTTATGAGCTATGTTTCAGAATGTTAAATGGTCAAGCGAATTAAAAAAAGAAAGAAATCCCTCTCTTGTATAGAAGTTTACTAACCGAGCATCTGACAAGCTTGGAGTCACCAAGTGTTCCACGCCATTGAGCTTAATGTTTTGGGTGATGAACTCAACAGCCTTAGAGGAATTATCATTAGCTACCACACTGTGAATGCCAGGCACTTCCTTTGCAAACCGGATGGAACGCAGTCCAGAAGCAGCCAGAGCTTCCAGGATTTGGAGTCCCTCCTGTAAAAAGGCAGGGGAAAAAAATGTTAAAGAAAAACTGAAATAAATTTTGGAACTAACTTTAAAAAGTTCAACATTTGACTTGAAACTATGGGGATCACCCCTGCTTCAATTTCCAAAGTGGCCCTGGCAGTTTCAAGAATGTCAAATAGACATGCTCAGAATGTGTCTTTCCTAAGTGTTTTGTGGTGTTGGAGCACTTTGCACGCTCAAAACAATACAGAAGTTTGCATCATATCTTAAAGCGGACCCTCTGAATGCTTCAACCTCTGCTGAAATGAGCAACTAATCCAAAGTCCTAAATTCTTTACTTCAAAAGAATGTTTAAAGCCCCACAAAGGGTGATCAGTCAAATCCCAGAAGTTGTAAAGAATAGGTTATTTCATTCATGTTTATATAACATATGCTGCAACAATATGCCATGATAGTGAAGAAGGCCTCTGATACAGACCAGACTTATATTATATTACTCAGTAGACAGAGATAGGTCACTGCCTCAAATAGCTGCTCTGAAGATCCCAGTACAGCCATGAAGGCCTCTTCTTGTATGGTTCCCAGGCTATCAAAGCAACTCTCAGGGAGAAGCGGTAAGACACTCTTGTAGGATTCAGGAAAACGGCCAAAAGCCCATTATTTACATCATGTTTTTAATTGTTAGCTCAGGCAATATGAATTATCCCGATTGTTAACTGTACTGTTTTTATTTTTATATTTTAAAATGCACATATTCATTAGGGTAATATTGAGTTATAGGATACAAATAATAAAACATAGAGCTTGAAATTAAAGCTTGATAGTCAGCACTGTGTAGGGAGGTTCAACTAAATGACAACTGCAAAATCTTCTAATTGTTTTTTCAAGCCAAATTAAATGGTCATATAATCATGAGTAAACTAAATCATGTTAGAATGTAATGTTTTCATATGAAATCTCATCAGAAGTGCTAATGTCTTTGTGGGAGATTTTGGAAACATTTTTTATAAATGTCTTTCATTTTGTTATATCCTTCTTGTGTTCCATTTAAGGGGAAACTGTATAGCAATAGCAGTTCGACTTATATACCGCTTCATAGGGCTTTCAGCCCTCTCTAAGCGGTTTACAGAGTCAGCATATCGCCCCCACAATCTGGGTCCTCATTTTACCCAACTCGGAAGGATGGAAGGCTGAGTCAACCTTGAGCCGGTGAGATTTGAACCGCCGAACTGCAGTTAGCAGTCAGCTGAAGTGGCCTGCAGTACTGCACTCTAACCACTGCGCCACCTCGGCTCTAATGTATGCCTTCGTAAGCTCTTACAGAGAAAAGATAGATCATATCTTTACTATGTAATACAGGTAGTTCTAGTTTACTGACTACTTCATAAAATTTTCAAAGTTACGATTACGCTGAAAATATATATTTTATATAAATTTTAAAAATGTATAGCCAATTTACAACCTTTGCAACACTCCTTAGTCATGTAATTGCCATTTACCATCAATATGCATTCTTCTGTGCTTGACCTGTTTTTTTTTGTTGTTTTTTTTTACTCCCCTTGCAATACAGAGAGATTGGAGATGAAAGGATTGCAGAGAGTAAGCTATCTGCTCATTTACACATCAAAATTGGCTATTGGAACTGGGAGCTGCAGGCAAGCTATGCAAAGAACTTCAATACTCCTTTTGTACTGCAAAAACCACTTCAAAAAAACTTGCCAAGAAAACTGCAGAGACTAGTTTAAATAGTTGCTAAGGGTCAAAAATGTGGGTTGGGTTGTTTTATTATTGCAGTGATAGTTTATTTGGTTTTATATTTCATGTATTCTGTTGAGAGGCTCTGAATTGTGGGAGGATAGAAGTATAAATAACGAACGAACAAACAAACGAACAAACGAATGAATGAATGGAGCAAGCAAGCAATCTCACACCAAGAACAGACAAAGATTATGATAGCTGTGAATGATAGCAATAGCATTTATATACCACTCCACAGTCCTTTACAGCACTCTTTCAGCAGTTTACAATGTCAGCATATTGCCTCCCACAATCTGGGTCCTCATTTCACCAACTTTGAAAGGATGGAAGGCTAAGTCAATCATAAACTGGCCAGGATCAAACTCCTGACAATGGGCATAGTTTGCCTGCAATACTGCATTCTAACTACTGTGCCAATGATAGAAACTTTAGGTGAAATATATCTGGACAACAACAGGCTGGTAATGGTCAATGGAGCAGTTCAATCAATTCACTCTCAAAACCCCAATGTGAAAACATAGATACAATACCTGGCATACTTCTTCCACTTCTGTAACTGTAGTAGTCTCCTCATCTGTAGTATCTCTATAATTTAGTTGTTCCAAGTTATCTTTTCCCGTTTCAGAAAGATCAACAATCACTTTAGAGGTATTTTCCTCCCCAGGAACTGCAACTGGAGAAAAAAGATGAATGAATCTTTTTGAGATGAATACACCCTTGGTATCTTGTCTGAACAAATGTTTAGTCCTTAAATCTTTTTATATAATTATCAAATCCTTGAAATGGTGTTTTCTCCTGATCAGAGTAACCTACTATATCAGCGATGGCGAATCTTTTTTGGCTCACATGCCATAAGTGGGGGGAGCGCAGGGGGGTCGTGTGCAGGCATGCCGCACCCATAATGCAATGTGCGATACCCCCCAGTGCGCATATACGCACTACAGGTGCGACCCCCCATTTTTTTGCATGCTTTTTTCGCCCTCCCCAGGCTCCAGAGGCTTGATAGGAGCCTGGGAAGGGCGAAAACAGGCCTCCCCCGCCGCCCCCCGATGCCCTCTGGAGGCCTCAGGGACCTTCAGGAGGCTTCTCTGAAGCCTCCGGAGCAGTCAAAATGACCCTCTGAGCAAACTGGAAATCCATTCCCGAACTTCCAGTTTGCCCATAGGGCCGGATTTTTGCGGTCCGGAGGCTTCACAGAAGCTCATGAAGTCTCCGGAAGGCCTCGGGGGGAGGGGGAGGTTCTTTTCGCCCTCCCCAGGCTCCTATAAAGCCTCTGGAGCCTGGGAAGGGCAAAAAGTGGCTTTAAAAAAGGATGAACTCAGTTGGTCAGCGCGCGCATGCGACAAGGCAACGCCTCGCGTGTACTGACAAATGGCTCCACATGCCTCTTTGGCACGTGTGCCATAGGTTCGCCATCACTGTACTATAAATATAACTGCCATGCCCCTCTTGTTTAATTTTGCCACTACTGAAAACCTGAACATGCTTACTGGTGTATGGAGAATTACACTGTCAAAAATCTACTAATAATTTCAATTATATACGTAAATTGCAGTTGTTCTTTTTTAAACTATAAAAGAGCTAAAAATCAACAATAAAAATTACAGAAGATTAAAACATTCTATATTATTATTCTAGGGACAGTTCCTGAAAATTAAAAGTGGGTCTGCTTATTTCACTTCACAGACACTAAAAAAGCCCCTTTTCTAATAACCTGAGGAAGGAA